AATAATTGCAAAGGGTTTGTGTCATTTCGACTACACACATTTTGTCGACACACTTTTCATAGACAACTTTTAATACATGCCTTGCACGTGATGTCATATGGCATCGTACCAGCCACCACTGTGGCTGGTACGATATACTTGCACATGTGCCTGTACCTTCTGCAGCATGCATTTCGCACAATCCAATTTGTTATTCTCGGCAAGCCTTGTTGAGAAGAACAAATTTGACACCGCGAAATGTAAGCTGCAGAAGATACGGGCACAGGAGCATGGTGTGGAGCAATGGCGAGTGATGTGACGTCAGTGCAAGCCATGTGTAGGAAAACGTTTCATTAACACTGTGATGAACGCATGGTTGGAACACCAGTCCAGCCACCTTGGGCAGGCCTTAGGAGGGTGTCATAGTAGGATTATCCTGCTGCCCCACGAGCAAGATGCAGCATCCCAAGACCGTACCTGCAAACGAGTATAGCCGCAATGCCTAAATCTAGACATGCACGGGGCAGCCTACATGCACCGCCAAGATTATGTGCCAGATAGGGCGTGACAATTCTTTTTGAAATTCTTTTAGGCAGTGTGTAATGAAAAAAATGTGTCGACCAAACGTCGCAAGCTATGTCGACTAAAGGAACACAAGAACGTTTTGACCAAACTATTTATCAATCAAACATTGCAGTGTCGACCAAATGACCTGTGGGTGAAACGTTGTTCGATGAACTGACTGTCAGGAAACAATGTCGGTGTTTTTGATGGCGAGGAGGGTGGCTATGTTCGACAAATGTTTTGTTTCTGCTAAAAAGAAACGGAAGTGACGATATCGTGTCTGATTGGCTAGAGACTCAAATGACAAAAGTTAACTCTTTCGTCATTGGAGCCTCTAACCAATCAGACGCGATATCGTCACTTCCGTTTCTCTTTAGGAGAAATGAAACATTTGTCGAACATAACCCCTCCAGGGGGGCTATGTTGCACGTTTTGGACTCCCAGGAGGCCAGGGAGATGGAAGTGACGTCAACGACGCAGCAAATGCAGATTGGATGTTGAATTTGTTTTCTTCTGTCAACATCCAATCTGCGTTTGCTGTGTCGTTGACGTCACTTCCTTCTCCCTAGTCTCCTGGGAGTCCAAAAAGTGCAACATAGACCCCAGTACTCTGATAGGCATAAAACAAGCAACATGCCATTCATCAAATTCCGATTCACACGTTCAACAAAATAGCAGGTTGCTTGCAAGAAAACCGAGCGGTGTCTTTCGCAACGTGAAAATAAGCCAGACATCAGAGCGAGCTCAAACTAAAGCCCCTCGATGTGATTGCGTGTCTTGCAAGTAGCGTCAAATGCGCGAGCGCACGAGCCCCATGTCTCGAGCGGCCCTTGGAAGCAAATGGCGGTGCAGCACTGAAATGAGCGGCCCTTGGAAGCGAATGGCGGCGGAGCACGCGCTCGCGGCACGCGTCTCGCGCGTTTTTACAACAAGGGTTGGCGGTACTTGTAAGAAAAGGCCTTCATCAAGGGGCTTTAGCTCCAACGACAACAGAACGCAGCCCTAGCGGTTGAAGCAACATGCAGAAGTTTCAAAACGTAGCGTCGTCGATTTCGAAGGTTCAGCCATTTTATTCCAAATTTTCAACGTGAAACTTGCGGCAGACGGAGTCGCGCGAACGAACGCCTATTTTCAGATTGAAATTTTTCGACAGCTGCTCATTACTTCGCTGACGCTATGTCGGCGTCTTGCTCCAACCGCTAGGGCTACGTTCTGGCAGTGTGCGAAATATTCACAATGTTTAGTTAAATTTTGCAGAGCGAAAAACACGGTCCGGGTTTCTCACAAACTCCCTGTAGAACACGACCAGTTTTGGAAATAGCAGTGAGAGAAATGCGCACTCACCGTTAGGCAAGCTGTGAAAACCAACGATGCCGACGAACCCCGAGGCGACTTTTTCAAAGTGAAGCTCAGGCGCAGCTATAGCACGCTTGTGTTAAATACACAGGGATCGTTTTATCAACCTGATGGTGTAGACGTTAAGGTCTCGAAACATGCGTGCCGTCGACTCATGATCGTCTTCACAGAGCCAACAGAGCTCTGTATCAGTAGTGCCGTTCCACCGGCGACGCCGATGCGAGCTGCGGCTGCTGCGGTTGCGAACGATGGCGAGCAACAAAACTATGGATAGGGATTTGGATTCTCTGGCGTCCCCTTTCAAAGCTCGACGAGATCGTCGGCCTGAAACTTTCCCGAAACAAGATTGGCCATTAACTACGGCGTCCTTAACCCAGTGCCTTAACCCGAGACGTTTTTTTTTGTTCTTTTTTTATGTATATAATCTTCGCTTAGCCATTTTTGTGCCACAAATCCAGAACTCTGAGTGAATCTAAATAAATCCGGTAGCTTGCGCCACCTAGCCTGTTTTCTATCCTTCTTCTTAAAGTGTTGGCCTAAAATTCGTTTCCTATTCGATATAAAATTAAATGATAGAATCATATTATATCTGCTTCCGCCGTTTACACGGCGCTTGCTTTCGCTCCACCTCCTCAAGGTCTAAGCTATGTGGCTACATTACATGTGCGAATGCTGTTCTGAACGATGCGTGCACTGCACGTGCTTACGTGCACCGCAGCCACGCGGGCTCTCTTGTGTAGATTTAGGTTTAGGTGATAAAAGAAAAATTTGGGGCCGAGTCATCGGTCGCGTGACGCTCAGGGTACACTGTACTCAGGGGGTGAGAGCGAATTCTTGCGCTGCAGAAACAGGTTCAATCCCCACCCCTACCCGCATCTATCTGACTGAGCATTGATGCCCCGTGCGTGCAAACATGTGCAGCGTGCGCGTGAACGTAGTTTTGGCAAGCCTGCTACGGTGGCAATCAGTTCGTCGAACGACGTTTCATGGACAAAATGTTTCGTCGACAGTGCGATGTTTCATCGACAGATCGTTTCGTGGAAACGAGCGCCCACTCGTTTCATCGACAGACGTTGCGACGTTTCGTCGACAGCTCGCTCTGCCAGGTTCGCCAGCTCCTCGTGGCCACTGCGCCTCCGCGGCGCGCAGCTTTGTGCTGGATTAATGGATACATGAAAGATGGCCGACTAGGCGTAGGGCGAACCGGGAGGCACTCACTTGATCGAATGACATTTTAGCCAACGCCCACGTTTGGAGCTCCAATGAGTACCTTTGTTTGGAGCTCACTGACTCGGCTCTCTTTAACCTCATCACAAAAAGTGCCTGATATGTTGTTTTCTGGAAGGAACGTCACAAAGACTCGTTGGTTGCGAAGGTAAGCGCGTGGTGTGGCCGCATGGACGCGTGTCAAGCTCTGGTGGGGCTGACCTTTTCTTGGGGATATTTCCGACAACGCACACGGCGTTAGGAACATCCAAATCAATAGACCTTTCCAAAAAAGAGCGTGTGGCCGGTGCCATTTTGAGTGTTCGTGCGTATGGCGCGTGCTTTGCTCGCTTTCCGAAGCGACGAACACGCGTGTGCTGGGCTGTGAAGATCGCACGCTGGACTGTGATCTTGTAAACATTGGAAACGTCTATACAAAACACGCCCTTAAAAAAAAAAAAAAAAAAAAAAAAAAAAAAAACACCGCAAGATGTTCAGTCTTTTTGCCGGTTTACGTGTGATATCGTCCTGAACGTGTCACATCTGGACGAGCCTGACCATTTCTTGGATTCCTGGTTCGTCAGGAAAGTACTCTTCTGCTGAGCAGCCGCCGTCTTCAGCCCTTGGACTACGGGGTCTGAGGATGGTCTGAGGTGATAGTGGTTCCTGACGTACACACCGCCGCTAGGAGTTTGCACTGTAGCGCCTCGGTTCGAAACCAAATTGTATTATGACTGCCTTTTGCCAGGTGCTCTTTTTCAACTTCATACTTTATTGCCCTTGAAATAAGAAAATAATGGGAATACGTCAGGCGTGCTAGTTCGGTGGAAAGGCGGAGGCCCATGCATCTGGTATACACACCGAACTTACCTAAACCAAACAGGCTGGTCCTTTGCGAGAGCCAAGAGAGCCTGGGTGTGGCAGTCTTTATACTTGTGCTGTTCCTGATGTCTCTGAGAAGCTTCTTGTGAGCTTGAGTAGGAAATATTGGTTCCAAGCTTTGAGGTAGGGCAGAGATGAATGTTCTTAGCTCCCTGCCCATCAGTAGCTCTGCTTAAAAAACAGATCCGATGTTAGGGGTGGAGCGGTAGTTGAGCAAGATCCTTACCATCGCTGCGCGACTTAGCGAGCATGGATTTAAGAGATCTGGGATAAGGTGGTGATGATGGCTCGTGAATGATGTCCCATTCTTGCACTAGTGCTCTGAATATTACTGAATCAAAGGGAAGTCCTCGGTCAGAGATTAGCACGTTAGGGATTCCAAACCGTTCAAAGACATCCATTAGAACCAAAATGAGTGCCTTCCGTTACTACAGAAACATCCCTACTTTACATTTCCAGATGCCCCGAAAAGAGGTTAACGTGCCCGGTTCCGGCTCTCCCGCCAGACAACGAACAAAGCACGTTTGTCCGTTTGCTTTCAACGCGTATTGCAGTTAAAATCCTGAGACTGGGAAGGTAACTTGAAAGAAAAAGTGTAAGAAGACACAGAAAAGGGGAGAAGTCTATCGGTGTGAGTTGGCGGTGACCTTGGGAGTTGGCTATAAAAGCTGTGGACGGAATAAATTTTGTTAGCTAGACGATTGTCCTGTCCCCGTTTTTCTGTGTCTCCTTGCACTATTTCTTTTAAATTTCTTTCCCAGTTTCAGGATTTTAACATCATGGTTCACATACACCAGCTCGCCTGCACCTTGAGAATGTTTGCGTATTCTAAGTACATTTTTTTAGTGAGTTACCTACTAAATATATAATGGAATAAGTAGTTGCTGCGCGAATAGCATATTGCATTTACATTTACTTTAAAACAATTGTCGTCTGTCAACACTGGTGTCCAGCTACCGCTGAAGTCGCATCTAATCCAATCCAGTTCAATCCAGCTTTGCACACGTGCGCTCTCCTGTCTTTCTGCTTTGCTTCTTTTGTTACGTTGCGACCACGTTGGTTTTTGGTTTATAGTCCATTAGGTGTTTTACTGTTTTTTCAATCATGAGTCACGTCCTAATAAGATGGCTAAATACGGGCAGGACCCGCCTTTTTGACGTTGTGAGCATAAGGGACATCGTTGACACAAAAATCGGGGCGCTTATAATTCACAATAGCAAAGATCCAAGCGTGTTTGCAACCGACGTACTGATACGTTGGAAGGGCGAGAAACACCCGGCAAGGATCGAGGCTGTCGGTAAGCTTGCTTCGATGCTCTCGGTTTGAGAAGAATCCAGCGTTATTTTCAATGCGTGATTTGCCCGCCTTCGATTTCGCAACTGTCCTTTCTGAACAGGGAGCGCCGCACAAATGGAGAAGCGGTGTCAGCAAATAACGAAAAACAAGGAGGTGAAAGAAGCGTCTTCTAATGGGGCGTCGGAAGACGGCGGCCAGGTACGTGTGCCCGTCATGATATGTGTCAGATATTTGTGGCGGCAACGAGCTTCAGCCGAGGAATGCTATTTTAGGACTATTTGAAGGGTGTGTGCTGTTTCTAATCCAAACTGGCGTACCTAATTACTGTTTCTACGCTTAAAAAAAAAAAGGAAGTTTAACAGAGCTCGCAAATTATTTCTGCACAAGACATTTTGAGTTTTTATTTAGTATAGACGCTTTTAGCACGCGCCAGATTAATGGGGTACGGAAATGAAATTCCAGCGCGCATTTTCTAGCTTAAATCTGTTGCATGTTGCACCCAGCCTCAAAAGCACCAATCTTTCTTTGGAAGGCCCAAGAAAACAAAATTTAAAGCTAATTAAGCGATCTTTCAATGTGCACCTGGTGGATCCCTGTAAAGCTTAGTTAAGAGGTAATCTAGCTACGTCGGGAATCTTGCTACATAGTCATGACATGGCAGGAACCGTTACGTAGCAGTACTAAACATCGGAGCGGCGCTGCCCTTTGGAAGTATGCTCAACTGTTTTAAATGACCTCGGCCTGAACGTGATTGCAAATCCTTTGCTCATGCCAATGTTGATCCGTGCGCTTTGTCCCTTTGCAAAGGAAGCCAACGAGATGCCATGATGGACTCATTGAGGAATGTCACAGAGTTGATCCTGTGACTTCGCTGTACAGTTCGAAGCTGTTCTGCGCTTATTGACGTCGAGATGCTGCTGTGCTTCTGCATGGCTGAGAACTGTGGTAACGACTTGGTCGACAGCGATATGCCGATCAACAAGTTTCCGAACGACGAGAAACTTCGGGCCCTGCGGATCCGGTTGCACGTCCATTGTTTCCGATGTGGGTTCTGATGCCTGCTGCTCGCTTTCCGAAATGAATACGGAGCGGGTGGTGCCGGTGTCCTCATCCTCACTTGTATCGTTCAAGTTTATGTTCCCAAGGATATTGTCCTGAAGCGCCATTGGAGTGGGCCACAGAAACACGACACGCACGACTGACCTCGTACTTGAAACGCTCGTCACCCCACGAGTACTTCGAACGGCTCGGTTGTAACATGTTGACGCTGTTGACGCCACCACAACACTGACAATGCCACCAACGGCAAAGCTCATAACCACGCCAGCCTTGCTATGTCACAAATGTGGGAGAATCTTGTTTGTTTTTTTGTTTGCGCAGGATATCCCATGACGCATCGCGCTCTCCGTTCGCTTTTCTTCGAGCGCTTGCTCGAGTGCACCGTTTCGAACGAAACATATAGCCAGTCGTTCAAAATACGAACATGCGATTATCATTTCCGGTTATTATATGTCATGCTTGACTCATTTCCGAACAACATTTGAATATTTCCATTTTTGTTTCCGTACCCTTTTAAAGCCGCCATAACTGACCTTCTCTCACTGGGATGTTGAACCTCTCAAACGGACGAAAGTTCGACCCATGTGAAGTCTCCGCTAGTAAAGGCCCGTTCACACTCTTGTGACTGAGCAAGACTGGGAGAGACCAGACTGGTTTTTAAGCCTCTTGCGATCTCTTAGGACCAGCTCCGCTCTGGCGCATCCGGTCCTAAGAAGTTGCAAAAGGCTTAAAAACCGGTCTGGTCTCTCTCGGTCGTACTTAGTTGCAAGAGTGTGAACGGGCCTTAACATGAACACGGCAGTCTCTAGATGAGGACATCAACACTGCCCTCTCCGTATTAATTTCGGAAAGCATGTTATGGCCGAGCCGTCCGAGGTACCCGTGGGGTGACGAGCGTTTCACGTGTGAGATCAGTCGTGCACGTCGTGAAATGGCGCTTCAGGACGATTCCTTGGGAACATAGACTTGAACGACACAAGTGAGGGTGAGGATACCGCCCTCTCTGTATTAACCCCTTAAGTGCCACATTTTTTTCCCGAAAGTACACTAAAAGTGCCAATTTTTTTTTATTTTGAATTTTTATTTCTCTAGTATTACACATAATTTGAAAAGTTTATTACAAAAAATCTGTGGAGGCAAAAAAAATATTAGCCAACTAATACAAATGCTGCCCTCTATCATCACCACAGCAAAACTACACGGACGAGCCTTGCTCGTCCGTAGAATTGAGGGCTGCCGAAGAAACCACTGGACGAGCTGAGCTCGTTCATGGCATTTTTAGCCTAAAAATGGCCGACGAGCTCAGCTCGTCTAAGGCACTTAAAGGAGCTGTGCAACGATATTCATTTGAAATGTTTTTCACTTGACACGAGCTTACTGGCACACCTGGGACTCAAGGATACTCGCACGCAACGCCACTGGCCAAGAAACTCCTTTGTTGCGGTGTAATTTCAAGGACAAAAGCGATCATTTTCATTCAATCTCTTCCTCGCAAAATTTGGTGACGTACCGTGGGGATCGTAGTACACCCAAGTGACGATGTTTGAATGCGGTTCATAGATTGGTCCCGAGCATTGCGTGGGCACTCGACTTGGGCTCGTGATAATCGCTACCTAGGGTAGTGACCCGTGTCCAATCGCTGCAACGACGACAACAGCCGAGCCATAACAATGTCTGGAACTCAGCGCGTGTCCTGCGCTTTGCCAACCCCAGCGCGTGGCTATGATCAACACTGGCGGCATATAATCGGCTTCAGATCACGTGGCCGCTTGTACTAGCTGCGAGTTGAGGGGGTGAACGCTGCTCGTTTGTCTTTAATTTTTTTCTGGGACTTCTATTGCGTGGGGTGAAAAACGAACGCGTGTTTCATAAGTCATTAACGTTAGGGATCCGTTTTAAGCGGTATTTGCGCAAAGTACAAAAATTGTTGCATCGCTCCTTTAAGGGGTTAATTTCGGGAAGCGAGCAGCAGGCGTCGGAACCCACATCGGAAGCGATAGACGTGCAGCTGGATCCACAGGGCATGAAGTTTTTTGTCGTTCGGAAACTTGTTGATCGGCATAGTGCTGTCGACCAAGTCGTTGCCACAGCTCTCAGCCATGCACAAGCGCGGCAGCATCTCGACGTCAAAAAGCACAGAACGTCTTCAAACTATACAGCTTGTCATGTGGCCACAGTGATGGAGTGTAGCGAGTGAAATAGATTTAAATTAAACCTGAAGGTCAGTAATAGCAGCACCCATGCACATCTGCACAGAAGTGTTTATATTGTTGCTCCAGTTCAATGTGAATAAAAGCTGTACGCCGTAACTGAAGCTTGGATGCCCTATCAATGTGACATTGCAGCAATCATGGTAAAATTTATTTATCAATTCAAATTAAACGAAGAGCGTGTTGGCAAAATTCACAGACCACAGAAAGATTAAAACATACTCGGGACGATAAATGACAATTATTTCTTTCAACTTGCAGCAACAGTAATCTTATGTTGTTGTGAGTTGAAAGAAATGTTTGTCGTCCATCGTCCCAAGTTTGCTTTATTCTTTCTGTGGACTGTTAATTTATAAACTTACTTAAATGTCAATTTAGACCCCTGCCCTTAGGTCATAGGAAACAATGTTGGTGACTACATTTTTAGACAAATCCTGTGGAAACTCGAAAATATTTTTGCAGTCTGCTTTGCAATCAATCTTTTATGAACTTTTTGTTCTTTTGCATTTCATTTTAATGAATGAAGAGCCTTATGTTGAAGTTTTGAGAATCGGTAGGATGCAAATGGTAAATATTTCTATGTTCAGTGCTTTGATCGGAAAAATTTCGAGCTGTATAAAAGCAAAGACCTCTGAAAACTCGGATCACCTGAGAGAGAGTAAACAGACGCTCAAGGGCACCTCCTGAATGTCCATTTGAAAAGAAAAAAGCTGAACTTGACATGTGAGGTCGAAAAGTAGTGGAAGTCTGCACTTCACTAAACTATACTTGAGGTTGCCGACACATACTGTGCCACTCTTGTGCATATGCTGGGAGCAAATATTTTGACCTCATAATTTGTGGTTGTCCACTTCAAGATATGTCATTGCAAAGACAGTCAGTCTAGCAGGATAGTAGGGCGTACGAATTTTGCAATTTTGCAACAATTTAGCAATACAACGGTTATTTTTCAGTTGGAAACTTGCAAGCACTGCGAAGTACTGGAGGTAGAGAACAACTCATTGAAGAGTCACATGCACGAGCTTCAGGAAGAGAACAACAAACTGAAGACTACCATCGACTACATAACCTCACAAAAAGATGGGATTGAAGGTGAGTAATACCCTGGTTATACAGGCTGTTTTTTTTAACTGTTGTAAGGCTAGTGGCAGATCGCAATTGCCAACTTGGGTTGACTCAGCTGACCTGGGATAATGCTCAAGGTGTAAGATATACCCTTTAGGTGAGGACACAACACAGGTAAATGCATGGCACCAGCCATTACTCGCACAGAGAGGGCACGGCGGGACCACCACGGACGCATCAATGAACCCCTTCTTATTACTCGCACAGGTCACGCTGTGGACTGCACTTGATTGTGCATCACGGTGCAATGCGCCAAGCAAGTTCGCTGCGTTCATCACCGAGCAAGACCACGTGGAAACAGAAGTGGGATGTGGCTTGATGACTCATCCACCCTTCCAAGCTTCGACAACAGCGCCATCTTCAACGGGGCATATAGCCATGCACGGTCTTCAAGGCTTCAGAGGGCACGGCGGGACCACCACGGACGCATCAATGAACCCCTTCTTATTACTCGCACAGGTCACGCTGTGGACTGCACTTGATTGTGCATCACGGTGCAATGCGCCAAGCAAGTTCGCTGCGTTCATCACCGAGCAAGACCACGTGGAAACAGAAGTGGGATGTGGCTTGATGACTCATCCACCCTTCCAAGCTTCGACAACAGCGCCATCTTCAACGGGGCATATAGCCATGCACGGTCTTCAAGGCTTCAGAGGGCACGGCGGGACCACCACGGACGCATCAATGAACCCCTTCTTATTACTCGCACAGGTTCGTAGAAACTATGGAAAATGTTTTCGTAGTAA